TGGCGTGGGCGTGGCCGGCAGACCCGGACCCGTCCACTGCAGATTCGGGGCCGGCCACACGCTGACGCTGCGGGTGCCCGCTCGACGGCCCGAGCCAGCGGCGGCCTTCGTGGCGGCGGCGTTCCCGGGGGCCGAGCTGCGCGAGGCGCACGGCGGCCGCCTGCGCTTCCAGCTGCCGCCGGGAGGGCGCTGCACTCTGGCGCGCGTCTTTGGAGAGCTGGCGGCACACGGGGCGGAGCTCGGCGTGGAGGACTTCTCCGTGAGTCAGACCACGCTGGAGGAGGTGACTGCGGCGCCTGGGCGGGGCCGGGGGACAGCGGCTGCGGGCCCGGCTCGTGAGCTGACCACCCCTCCTGTCGCCTGTGGGCCGCCCACCCGCCAGGTGTTCCTGTACTTCTCCAAGGACCAGGGGGAGGACGAGGACGAGGAGGAGGCAGGAATGGGGGTGGACCCCGCGCCGGGTCCGCAGCGCCCCAAACGCATCAGCAGGTTTCTGGATGACCCCAGCACTGCGGAGACTGTGCTCTGAGACTTCCTCCCCTGCAGGGCCGATGGGAGCCCTGGAGGTGGCAAAGGGTGGGTAGAGGGTGCGGGAGCCGCTGCCCCAAAGGAAATAAAGAGAAGGCTGTCGAGAAGCCGTGATGGTGGGAGCGTGTGCGTGTGTGTCCATGCGCCAGGCTGTGTGCACACGTGTCTGGACACAGGTCCTTTGCACGCAGAATGTGCGTGCGCGGGTTCGCGCACAGAGAAGTGTTTGTAAGGCTTAGGTGAGGACACGTGCACAGCCGTCTGCATCCCCAGCTCTAGATGCCTCTGTGGTGAGCCCGAGAGTGGGCGTGCGAGTGTGAGGCTTCAGGAGAGCCTGGTCACCCCTACCCCCGCCCCTGCGTGCCCACACGGGTCTGGTGCCTAAGGGCGGTGCCTGTGAGTGCCTGGCTCGGAAATGTCCCGGGCATGTTAGAGGAGCTCTGTGTCCTGGAGCACAGAAGTTCACCCACCAGCCCGCCCGCCCTCACCCCCTGATCCGGCTCTCAGAGCCATGAGTAGGGGGAGAAAGTCTTCGAGGGGCTTCTGGGCTGGGTTTGCAGCTGGGCCCGGGCCTGGAGAGCGGGATTTGGCACAGGGGGTTGCCGCCTGCGTTCCCTGTGCCTCGGAGATCCGCCCCTCCCGCCCGGGGTCAGTGGAGGGGGGTCATTGTGGAGGATAAGGGGGTTGGGTTTGGGGATTGGGAGGAAAGAGGGCTCAGGGCGGGAGGGGGTTTGTGGAGGGTCGAGGGAGGCTGGCATCTGTACAGCGCACAGATCCGACGTGGCCGTAGGCGTGTTATCAGCGCCTCTGTGTCTGCGTCCTGCTGCTAAGCACGTCCGGTGGTCAGCGCGTGTGTCCCTGGAAGGTAGGATGGGAGGTGGGGGTGAAGCCGAGCCACAGCCCGAGCAGGCACGGGGCTGCAGGACAGAGCAGGGTCGCCTCGCCGCCTACCTGCCCAGCCTGGCCCTGCCGAGGTCTACAGGGGAGGGGACCAAAGGAGGCACAGCGGGCGGCACTGGGCGGGCGTGTGTGTCCGGGGTCCGAGTTGGAAGCTCCGGGTCCTCCGTTTCATCTGTGATAGTCCGTGTCCTGTGTGTCATCGTGCACGCGTGTCTGCGTACTCCTGGTCGCGCCTGGGTGTCCGAGTGCGGGCCTGCGCCCCTGCAGTCGCCGCCGTGTGCCCGCCGTGCCCACCACTGGCGCGGGCGCGGGGCTCCCTGGGCGGGCCCTGCGGCCTCACCTTCGCGCCCACTCTGCGGAGCGGCAGGCTGAGGCCGGGGGCGGGGCCCGGGTCTGCGTCGCTGCCTCCGGACGCCTTTTCCTGTGGGGGGAGGGCCGCCAATGAGGGCCGGGCTTGTCACGTGGGCCTGACAGCTGGGGAGGGGGTGGCTGTCGCCAATGTGGTCCTGAGGCGGCCAGCACCGGGAGCTGCGCTGCTGAGACCCCCCAACCTGCTCGACCCCAGCCCGCGCCTCTCGGGCCACCGGGCCCCAGGCCCACCATGTTCTCCAGGAAGAAACGGGAGCTCATGAAAACCCCTTCTATATCGAAAAAGAACCGGGCGGGAAGCCCCAGCCCACAGCCCTCGGGGGTGAGTGAGCCCTGCAGGGAGCGCAGAGCGGGCGGGGACGTGGGACCGACACCTAGCCGCAGGGGGACAGGGGCGCGTCCTGTGCTCGGGGCCAGCGGGGCAGAGGCCCGGCCGCACCATGCTGGGCCGCCGGCGGGGGGCCCGCACCAGCTACAGCCCCTACCGAGCTGGACTGCAGGGGCTACAGAGGAAAGGCCAGGACCTTGGCGTTCGGCTCATGGTAGGGATCCTTCTGAGTGGCCACCGTGTCCCTGCATTTCATCAAGGGCCAGGGCCCAGGGACTGGGTAGGAAGGGGGTTGGGGTGGGGAGAACGTCTGGCTTGGGACTTACAGGATGGGGGCTCAGGCAGTTTGGGGGCTCTGGGAGCCGTTGAGAAGACGGTAGGGTTGTAGGATGGCCTTCGGGTTGAAGGCTTATAAGGCAGTAGGTCCTCTAATGGGATCCATGGGGTACGGGCCACTGGACGTCTATGAAGCTTAGGGGTGTCTATGACACTTGGGGGTGTCCACACAGCTTGGAGGTGTCTGCCTACAAGGCCTGGAGTGTCCATGAAACTCAAGGGTGTGCAGGGCCCTTAGGGTATAGGAATCATCAGAGGTGTCCACCGGACAGCAGTGTTTCTGCAAGAGCCTGAGGGGTGATACAAGGGCGGAAGACCCTCTCTTGGCCCTCCCAACCCCCACCAGGAAGTGGGGTGCCCCCTCCTCCGCGCTCACCGCAGGCCCCGCCCCTGGCTGTGGTTTGGGCAGGGACGGTTGTTTGTGAAAGCTCTAGGGAAGAGGATGTTGGGTAACAGGTGGAGGGGGGAGCACGGTACCAAATCTCAGCCCTATGACCTCTGGCCTTTGACCCCTGTGGGATCAGGCTGAAGACCCTCCAGAGCTCCACTTTGTTTCTGGAGAAACTGAGGCAGTGTCCGGGCTGGAGCACCCCGTTTACAAGCTCCGCCCATCCTCCCAGGAGCTGCCCAGGAAAGAAGGGCCTGATGCAGTATTCCCCGGACCCGGCCTGGAGCCACCAGCCACATCCTTGGGTGCCAAGGCCACTGGCACACTCAAGCGGCCCACCAGCCTGAGCCGCCACGCCAGCGCGGCCGGCTTCCCGCTGTCTGGTGCTGCCTCCTGGACACTAGGCCGGGGCCACCGGAGCCCACTGACCGCAGCCAGCCCCGCTGAGCTGCCTACCGAGGGGCCCAGCCTCGATGCCGTCGAGGATATCTCCCACCTGCTGGCCGACGTGGCCCGCTTTGCCGAGGGCCTCGAGAAACTCAAGGAGTGTGTGTTGCGTGAAGGTGAGAGCCAACGGGGACACCCGGGTCGGCGTGGAAGGCAGAGCCGGGCACAGTATCCCCAGCCCTGAGGGGTCAAGGAAGGAGGGAGGGAGGGACTTGGCAGGCTCAGAAGGGGATTGCGGGAGGGCTGCGTGGAAGGGGCCATGACAGCCAAGGTTCTGAGGGATGTGTAGGAGTTTGGTGGCAACCCGGAGGGAAAGACACTGAAGCGCAGGGAGTGCTGTGTGCACAGGTTCAGAAACATGGACATGGAGCGTGCAGTGGAGGGCAGAGGTGTGGGGTGCCGCTGGCTTCTGAGGTGGGTGATGAGGACTAAGAGATGAGAACACCAGGCAGAAGGATCCGGGACGTTATCCTGAGGGCAATGGGGAGCCATAGAAGGCGTTAGAGCAGAGGCTGGATGGAGTCGGATGTGCGTTTTGGAACAGCACGGACTGGAGGGAGGCTGAGGTCCGGGTGGAGAGAGGACAGACGAGGGAGGGCAGTGGAAGGTGCCTGGGTGCTGGCAGTGGGCAGCCCGTCGGCTGGCAGTTCCGTTTTCTCCTCCACGCGGCTGCTGACAGCCCTGCTTCCTGCCGAGTTATTTTCATCCGCTTCCTGTTTGTCCCTGGCAGCCAGGCGGGCACCTCCAGCAGGGGCGGGCACAGCACCTCGTGTGCCGCCTTCAGCCCCCACTGTGCCAGGGCCCGGCCTGGCACTGTGACCCGCTCCCCCCAGCGGCCCGTTTTGCAGATGACAAAACCGAGGCCCCAGCGAGCTCTCCAGCCGGGGAGGGGCTGGAACAGGGACCCGACCTCGGCCTCCGAGGCAGCCTCTGTGCCTCCGGGCGCTCATGGGGGACTCTGGGTGCTCATGGGGGACTCTGGGCAGAGGCCCGGCTCCTGCTCACAGAGATGGGAGCTCCGGGGTTATCTGGTCCCTGGGGCGGAGGCTGGAGCAGGTTTCCTGGGGAAACTCTAATCTCGGTTCCTTTCCGATCCCTGGGCTTCCTTGGAGGCCCAGTCTGGGCGGGCTCAGTCCTTGGGCGTCTTGCAGGGGGTTGGGGGAGTGGCCCGGTTTGGTCCCGGTGCCACCGCAGCCCCGCTGTGAGGGCCTGGGCCGGCCGCCCTGCTCTCTAGGCCTCAGGTGCGTGTCTGTAGAATGGGGCGAGGATGACCCGGCCCGCAGGGCTGCTCTAACTGTCCTGATGTCCCCAGCTGGTTGTGATTGTTGTGGGACCCCCGCGCAGTCGGCACAGCAGTACACGGACGCCGAGGTCCATGCTCAGGGCTGCCTACCGCCCTGGGTTTCGGCTCCAGGCCTCAGTTTCCCCTCCTGCTTTCGACCCCTCCCACCTCGAGTGGCGCCGCCTCAGGTCTGGGAATCCTGCGCTCTGACTGGGGAGCCGAGGACCCCGGTCAGGGCGAAGGGGACACCGGGGCGGGGTCTCCCTCAGTGGGGGCGGGGTCTCCGGACCGGCCAGAGCCGGTTTAGCCGCTATCCAGACACTAGAAACCCACCTCGTCCCACACGTTCATGGTCCCCGCGTCCCGACGGCCACGCCATGTGTATCTGCGGGACGGTGCACCCGGCGCTGGACGAGGTCCCAGTGCGCTGCCGCGTGGGGCGCCAAGGTGAGGGAACAGTGAGGGGCACGGGGTCCCTCAGTCCGGCCAGGAGCACGTGGCTCTCAGCCCCTTCGGAGGTGGCCGCGCGTCTGCCTTGGCCGTGCCAAGCCGGGTATCGCCGGGCTTCCTAGGTGTCCCACCTGCCATCGGCCTCCCTGGTGGGGGTGTTTCAGGGACCTTGGTGACCCGGGCCCGGGCGACGTGAGGGGCGGGGTGCTCAGAAGGAATGTCCGGGGGAAGGGCCGTGGCCCTGCCCTTCCCCAGCCGGCTTCCCTGGATTCCTGAAGCCCCTTCCCGCCCCCTTGTGGAGGCCATGGATTCGGGCTGCAAATACGAGCTCAGGTGGGCTTGGTGGGGGGCTGCAAAAAGGGACAGGCCACCTGTTTTTAGGTTTTCTTAGCTTTTTGAGCATCCTCTATGCGGCACAGAGGGTAAGAAGGTGTCGCAGCTGTTCGCACGCTCCCAGGTCTCACTGTCTCTGGACATCCCTCTTCTATGTAATGCTGTGGTTTTGGTAGATGGTGTGTGCTTTGCCCACACGCCGCTTTATTTTCTGTTTCCTCCAATTAAGAACGTTCAAAGAGGGTATTTAAAGCCACGTTCCAACGGGCAGATCTGACCATTATCC